GATGGGGCAACAACATGTAAGTCATGATGGGTGGTAGTAAAGAGACTATTAGGGAGCATACTGTTCTTACACTTAACCCCATCAGTGGTAGAGTGGTTGGTACATGGGGCAACAACATGTAAATTATGTTAGGTGGAGATGAACCAATTATATTCCAGTAAACTCCCTGGTCATCCTTAGATAAAAGTAAGAAAATGGTTTCCTTTAAAAGACTCTAGTGAACCTTGTATCAAGTTGAATGAATGTACAGTAAAATGTTTTTCAGAGAATTGGGAGTGGGGGATGCAAAAATTTTAGAAGAAGCTGCGAGAGATTGCCTGGGGGGGGATAGTTATTTTTTGGGGAACTTCAAGGGGGGGTCTTAAGAATTTTTTTGTCATTTAAAGATTTCACCTGCAAGCCCCCCCCCCCCCTGCCAAACATTATGAACGCAGCCTTATTTGTACCTGGGTGTACATTAACTGCTATTGAATGTGATGTTTCAGGTTTTATCTACCCCACGGCATAACTGTTGATCACAGTGACAATATATGGCTTACAGATATTGCCATGCACCAGGTAATCATGATATGGTCGTATATTATCACATTCATCAATCACATTGTGTGAATAAATGTGATAGGATGCACATTACAAATCGACTTTGAAAATTATACAAATATCATTTTGATGATAATATATAAAATTCTTGCACGATACTGAAGCTTTCCGGAATAAATTGTTCAAAATTGCATTAAAACACAAAAAGATCATTTAATATAGAGCAGTAGATTCGATCATGACGTTGTGTAGTGACTACGTATATATAAACCGTGACTAGCATCTCCACCAAAACGTCGTATATGGTACATTATTTGCGAGATAATTTACGTTGCTAGATGAAACTGAAATTAAACTGTCTTTGCTGAACTTCAGGTATTAAAGTATCCACCAAAGGGAGATGACATGCCGTTGTTGTCGGTAGGGGAGATGTTTGTTCCTGGTTCAGATGACAACCACTTTTGTCAGCCAACAGATGTTGCTGTAGAAAACAGTGGAGTATTCTATGTGGCTGATGGGTAATATATATAGATTATCACATGTTAAGAGTTTGATATAACAATTTATTACACATTTGGGATCGATACAATAACAAAGGTCTCAGTTTCTAGTTTACCGTGAAGTGATATCATATTACTTCATTGATATGGTTTTTATTCACGGCTTTATCCGCACACTGCATGACTTCCAACCTAAATGTGTAACAAACATTTTTATTTCCTTTATTAAATGGGCTGTTGAGCAAGTGAGCCATGTTCACAAAGGCAACGTTAATGCGCATGAGCAGTCTATTATTTGCAGCAAAACGGCTTTGCACCGTAATGCGCATGAACAGAATATCATTCGTACGCATTTATTTGCAGTTATCTCGGCCAATCAAAACGATGGAAAAAATAATTGGAATAATATCCGTCGAAAAAGATCGGTATAATAAGTAATCCAGTTTCTGTTCTCCCTGTTATTAAATGCAATAACAGAAATCAACGTTATCCCACACGTCTAAAATAAAGGTGGTGTCTCGAAAGGTCTAATAGTGTACAGCTACATGAATGTCACCAGTTGGCATTGCGATGTACTGTGGGACCTTTTAGAGAAAGACATAGACGCCTCTTAAGGCCGGTTTAGACGGTACGATTTTCGCCTACAACTATCGTATACAACGCGCTTGCGTCTGTCGTAGGCGAGTTGTAGGCTTGATTTACGAGCTACGACTCGAGTTGTAGGATGGCGCGAGCGTGTTGTATACGATAGTTGTAGGCGAAAATCCTCCCTTCTAAACCGGCCTTTATGTAGGAAACGTTTTTTCTGTCCAGGTATTGTAACAGTCGCATAATGAAGTTTTCATCCAAAGGAAAGATGCTGGCCAAATGGAGTGAAAAAGGTACATGACCTTTTAATGGAATGTTCCACAAATAACGAATACTTTTTTTACGGTCGGCTGTTGGCTTGGTATTCTGCCACCCCCTCTTTATGAAATTGTCATTAATGTGTGGAATGATATCATATCATTATGTAAAGATGATCATGATTCTGGTTTATTCTAATTAACCCTACATGTGTAGGATATTGTGGCATACTTACGCGATGCTTATTAACATTGGTCATTTCTGTTGTAGGTTATTTATCTTTAAATATTCCACACAGTCTTGCTCTGGACGAGATAAATCAACGACTTTACATTGCTGATAGGGAAAATGGTCGTATTCAGCATGTCGATACGATAACAGGTCAATTTGGACAACCAATAACCAAACAACCATTTGGATTAATATATGCCGTTAACTTCAACAATCACAATGGTAATTTTTTGAGTTTGTTTTTCTCTTCTTTTCTCCTCTCTTCCCTTTTAGTCAGCCTATTAACTGAACTGCGTCATTTTTGACCACAGGACTTCTTTATGCTGTAAATGGTAATTCTGTAGAAAGCAATCTCCCTGTCAAAGGCTTTACTTTAAAGAATGGCTTGATACTCAACTCGTGGCCAAGCGATAGACAAGTAAGTAAATCAGATTAACTGACGTCTGTTGTTAACTCATGATATGTGATATGACATTGAATAATACTCGTCCTGCGAGTATGAGATGAACATGGTGCATTCTGGTCTAGCTTGGGTACAAAGCTCTTAGCAAGCCTTACTAGTATTTATATGTATCGAAGCTACAAGACAACTTTAGATTTCAACTTCAAATTTTAATTGATACCCTGAAAAAGACTCTTGGCTGATCAAAGTCAGGGTACGGCTATTTCACAGATCAAAGTGGAATTTAGCGTTTTAGGTTTTAAAACCAAAGAACCGAGTCTGAGAGTTGAACCTAAGACCTCAGAGGTAACCAGAGAGTACACTACCCGGCTCTACGCCACTGAGCTGTAAAAAGATGAAAACTGTTCAAATGTATCACTATTTATATTGTCTTTCCGTAGCATTTCAGACATCCACATGACGTGGTTTGTTCCTCAGACGGTAATTTCATATTCGTGGTAGAAACTGAACCCAACAAAGTGTGGAAGCTTTCAAGGCGTGGCCAATCACGTTTAAACAAGGAATCTACCTTGGACGGAGAAATAAGGGGGGATAAACCCAAAGAGGACATAGAAACTAAGACTTGGACAAGCACTAAAGAGACCCTTCCAGGTAATGGTGAGAGTAATGTACAGCGTTTGGTGTATATATATGTTACAAGAAAATGTTGGACGGGCATTACTTGTCTGTTATACAACTCGCACGTTGATTGGTTAATCGTAGTAAAAACAAACAAACAACAGCAACAATGGTCTGCATTGTACGACAATGTATTTCAAGCACGCCTTTATTCGTATTTGTATTAAGATTAAAAAGATGGGACATTATGTGGGAGATAAAGTCTGAAAGGAGCAGGAGATGTTTTTTTGAAGAAAACAGAAAAAAGGTTCAGTGGAAAACCACAAGTAGTTATTTCGAACTATTCTGAAATATGGAGCACTTTTCAGCCAATTAATGTTCAGGCAATTAATTTTCAAAAATTCCACAGATAGCTCTTTTGTAGTAATTAATGGGCCCTTTGCAGTTAACGGTCACGTGTTTGTACTGGAATGCAATGTTTTTATTTTAAATTGGTGATTCTTTTTAGGTACTTGTAAAGAACTGAATGAAAACATGTGTATCCAGTGTGTTACGAAATGYAGTTTTATTACGATCTCTCGAAACAGGTTGTAGAAAGTTTGTTTGCAGTCCAGTAAATTTCACCGATGGGAATCAAGATGTTCATTCATTCGCTCTCAGTGAATTAATCAGCACGTGATTGCTTAGCTGCAAAGGGCCTATTTGATGTAAGTTTGTGTGGAACCACGTGTATTAAACATAGTGTTAATTCAATTTGTTTAGAGAGGTGTACTTATAGTAGTGAAACAGGACCCTGCAGAGCTGCGATACAGAGATGGTACTACGATATCAATAAACGTCGATGTATGCATTTTATTTATGGTGGTTGTCAAGGAAACGAAAACAATTTCAAGTCTGTAAAGGATTGTCAAGATACATGTGCTTCTAAAGGTATGCAGTGTGCATCAAGGAATAAATTATATACCACGCGCGTTATTTAAGGGTACCAATGGGGGTACCCGATTGATTGTGAACGACTATTTTTTCTGAAATGTGTTTTTGTCACTCGGTAAAGATCTATATGTTAAGTGTATGCTACATCGAGTGTATAAGCAGATTAAAAAATCTGCCTTACTTGGGTTCTCGCGCGTTTCGAACCACTGCTCTCGTTTGCTAGACGAGATCTCAACCGCTATTTTTTACTATTTTTTCGCCGAATGTCAGTTAACTGTAATAATTTCACGAGCGCTGGCCATATTAACGAAAATAGTGAAATATCAGTTAACTGTAACTTTTAATTTTAGGTTATTCGTCAGTTTAACAAATAGACATCAGTTCTTTATGTGTCTGTCCTTATTGACGATAAATTGAGTCATCACATTGTCAAAGTAGTATGCGGTCCACACCACTTTGACAATGTGATGACGCAATTTATCGTCAATAAGGACAGACACATAAAGAACTGATGTCTATTTGTTTTTTACAATAACAAAAACGATAAAAACTTCTCATTTTATGTGATCAAAAAAAACAACGGAAAGAGTGTGCATGCTCGTTGACGTCAGCTTTATCTGTCTGTCCTCTTATTGATGATAAAAAATAGCCAATCAGCGCGCGAGAAATTTGTCAGTTAAGTACTAACCCCATTGGCACCCCTTTGTCTCTGTCCACACCGTGTTACTAACCCCATTGACACCCCTTTATCTCTGTCCACACCGTGTTACTAACCCCATTGACACCCCTTTATCTCTGTCCNACCCCATTGACACCCCTTTATCTCTGTCCACACCGTGTTACTAACCCCATTGACACCCCTTTATCTCTGTCCACACCGTGTTACTAACCCCATTGGCACCCCTTTATCTCTGTCCACACCGTGTAAACCGCTTCTCGCTCCGCTTAAAGTTTTTTAAACAATTTACTTTGACCAAGAAACTACAACAGAAAAACTTTGAAAAAAAATATCGAAAATACATGTGTAAATAACATGTTATAACGGGATTTTTTAAAATTTCGACGTCTAACTTGAAAACCTTGGTCGCCATATTACTTCAAGCGACCCGGCCCCGGAAGCGGAAGCGTATTCCTAAGGAGCACGAACAATCTAAAAATAACCTTTCGGGAATACTGCGGCTTATATTGGAAGAGTCGCTGTCTGTCCTTTATGGTCTTTCGATCATAACCAACAACTTCTTATCGTTTATGTTAGGACATTCAAACCAAAGTAAACATTTTAGTAGACCAAAACCTGGTGAACAAAATCAAAAGACTGTGCTTAAGGAACTTTCAAGCAATGATGATAAACTTTTTAAAGAGAACATGACTATGGCTAAATCCAAAGGAAGACCACAACAGAAACCTGAAATACATGATGATTGGGAAAATGCCGCCGGTGAAGATGAAGGCGAAGAAAGCAACCTGCATGTTTGGAAAAGCCACAGCAATACATCCAGTAAGTTATGCCGGTTCCAGTACCAATACATGTGCATTCTTTCTGGGGTATAACAATTTAAAATTACAGCAAGCATTTGATTCAGGGAAAATCTTATTCAGGCTGTTTCCAAAATGTTTTTTTAGTCTTTTTCGGCCACGATTGGCTAAAGCCACTTGGGCGTAATGTTTTCGTATTTGAGATCACGTGTCATTCCCTTGAGAGTAAGAATATTTGTTTGAGTTATATCCATACTTTTGTGTCTTCTCATGTACAACCGTTAAACAAAGACTGATATGATACTCTAGGGAATGACATGTGGTCTGAAATGGGAAAACACTATGCCCAAGTGGATTTGGTCCATCACATTCGACCACTGCAGTAGAGTTTCATAGTGGGCGATATATAACGTGATAGTTAACTGATTGTTTTGTATGACTATTAGATACAACGATAAGTACTCCATATCACATCCAAGACAACCAATCAACATCTACCGACGACATCCAGGCTGGTATGATGCCAGCTTTGATAATCCTGTCTGTTCTAGCGGTACCTATTATTTTCCTCTTGCTTATCAGCATTGTATTACGTATCAGAGCTTACCGAAGGGAACGGAGGTACAACTTGAACCGTCTCTTGAATAAAGATGGATTGCCTGTAGATCGCACAGTAGGTTGGTGGTCCTACCTCAATTGTTGTAGTAAAAGAAAATATGGATTTGATAAAGTTAATTTAGCAGAATTCTATAGCGATAGTGAAAGTGATGGAGTTTGACACACGAATTTACTGTTTTATTTTTAGTTTCCTTCAAACGAAACAGATTATGCGCTGTAATATCATAGTCTTTTATTTGTGCAAAAAGAATACTTCCAGTCTAGTGTTTCATTGTCTTTTAGGGCTGCCACAATGCAACAGCCTGTTGGTAGTAGTTGTCGCAAATAGCTTTGGTAGGTGCTCTTTATGTGCCTTAAATCTGCCTATTTTATCTCGTGTAACAAAGAACTAATAACTAATAACTGAAAAGCTTACCATGCACTGGCTACGAAGTCTCTACGTCGTACTGTTGTAGTCTCCCCGGCCCCCAGGTAACTGACTCCATTGAAATTCTTTGGGGACATAAGTGGGGTAGCCAGAGGTCTTAATGAATCTTGTCTCCGACAAATACTGCTAGAGAGCCTCTAGAGCCCATGGTAAAAAATAAGCTAACAACCACAAGGATCCCAGCCCCAACAAACGAATTCCAAAGAGATACCTGTACTTAGGAGGCTAGTATAAGTCCAGTAGAAATATTACGTATATTCAGAATATGTGGCCTGCGTGCAGCCCGACTTTAACTCTGGTTCGTAGACTAAGAGTCGGGCTGCACGAAGGTTAAGGATATGTGGCAATAAGACCTTTATTAGTAAGACTAGATGTTTGAATGTCTAACTTTTGAAAAGCTAAGGAAAATCCCCTGAATATGAAGAGCTTGTATTAAGAATACAATAATAATAATAATGATAATAATAATAATAATAATAATGATAGTAATAATAATAT